GCTTTTTGGAAAAAATCAGGTTTTCCCCCCATCCGCTAGTTATCCAGCAAGGATTTGTTTTGAAGAACAGTGGGGCAGCTTGAGCTTCATATGCCCTTCATAAGACATTTCTGATCGGTTTTAATGCATTTTGCATCTATTGTTTTATTATATTTATTTATCTACAACATTTCTAGGCTGCCTTTCCACCCAAAAAGGGTTCCCACAGTAATGAATAGGCTTGCCAAGTCCCCCCGGGGGGCGGGGAAAACCCCACCCCAGAGGCCCGTTCCCCGCCACCAGTCGATTGGGCCCCAGGGGGGACCCCACCCCAACGTGCACGTCACCAGGAAGTGACGTGATGACGCCGGGCACGCTGGGGGTGGGGCCATGACCATCCAAGGGAAAACTCTATGGTTTCCCCTCGGACAGTCGTGGCCCCACCCCCAGCGTGCCCAGCATCGTCACGTCACTTCCTGGTGATGTGGATGCGACACGCACTGAAGCCGCAAGCCGGGAGTACCCCGCTGCGGCGATTTCTTCACTTGGCAACCCTAGTAATGAACATCAAAACATGAAAACGCGTCAATATTAAAACATCAAGGCATTAAAACGGAATTTGTGTGTGAAGTATATAAAGTATTTAAACAATTCAATAAAACATATGAACACACACAACAGCAACCACAAACAGAGAGGAGGGCCGGTAACAGTTAGTGGGGAAACAGCAACCAAAGCAAAGTCTTTGTCTGCAGACACAAGACAATGATAGATGGAAATGGATAAATCTACCTGGAGAGAGAGTTCCAAAATTTTGAGGCCATGACTAAGAAGGTTCTTCATCAGGTTATCACCTGTCTAGCTTTAGATGGCAGGGTCACCTGAAGCGGGCCTCTGATGATGACTGGAGTAGACAGGTAGGTTCATATGGGAGTAGGATAGGATTGCTAACCTTCAGGTGGTTTCTGGAGATCTCTTGCTCTTATAACTGATCTCCAGATGACAGAGATCAATTCACCTGGAGATAGGGTTGCCAGGTGGGAGGTGGCAACTGGTGGGAGATGGGGAGAATTACAAGGAAAAAGAAAAGCCTAAGCCTCATTGCCAGCATCTCACAGGAAGTGATGTCATCATACCAGCGATGCTTGGGCAACACTCTGGTATTTGGGCAAAAACTCTGTGGAAAACTGAGTTCTACCACAGAGGTTTTGCACAGATACCAGAGCGTTGCCTGGACATTGCTGGTGTGATGACGTCATTTCCTATGTGACACTAACAACAAGGCCTCGGCCTTCTCCTTTCTCTTGCTAATTCCCCCACACACTGAAGAAAGAGAAGAGAGAGAGAGAGAGAGATTGGATTTATACCCCACCCTTCACTACCAAAAGGAGTCTCAGAGTGTCTTACAATCTGCTTTCCCTTCCCCTCCCCACAACAGACACCTGTGAGGTTGGTGGGGCTGAGAGAGCTCTTTTGAGAACTGCTTGTAAGAGAACAGCTTTGACCCAAGGTCACACCAGCAGCTGCATGTGAAGGAGTAGGGAATCAAACCTGGTTCTTCCAGATTAGAGTCCACGCTTCTAGCCACTATACCAAACTGGCCAGCTAATGGGTGGCTGGGGTTAGGGCCTGGTGACTGAGGACCCCTACCTCCACTGGGGGGGGGGTCTGACTATCTGGAGAAAATGTCTACTTTGGAAAAATGACTCTATGGCATTATGGCCCATTGAAGCCTTTCCCCTCCCCAAACCCCACCCTCCTTTGGCTCCATCCCCAAAATCTCCAGGTATTTCCCAACCCAGAACTGGCAACCCTAAAGTAGGAGGTCCTTTAGATATGCTGGTCCCAAGCTGTATAGGGCTTTAATTAAAGATCAATACCTGCACCTTGAATTGGGCTGGGAAAGCAAAGTGGGAGCCAGTGTAGATGGAACAAGACTGGAGTGATATGGTCTTCATGAGCCACTTCAATCAACATGCTTTATTTTTGTTTTATCACACTGTTTTTATGTTGTTATCTTCCGTGAGTCCTTAAATTAGGTGGATGTTGAAGAAGCAAATACGACTAGCCAAAAAAGTACACATTCCTAATGCTTTGGGCTCCCAGAAGGTATCAAAAGAGCACCTCCCCTTGTGATTTTTAGGGAACATTATAAAGCAGAACTTTAGGAGGGAATTTAAAGGAAGCTAAATATGTTCCCGTGGCTGTAATTGGCTATGTTTTTTGCTGCATTGGATTTTAATGGTCTCATTGATTTTAATATGTTTTTTTTAAATGTATATGTAGCTTGATACACATTTTTGTAAGGTGCTTTGAGACTTTCCGGACGCAGGGCAGGAGACGCAGGGTATAAATATTTAGGTAAATCAAGTTTTCCTCTATGGAACTTCAGCCACATCTCTCAAAAATATTTACTGGTAAGTTTTTATCAGGAGGGCCGTTTTCATTTAAATTGCCTCCTTACACAACAGTCAGAAACTGTGATAACATCTAATGGGCTGGATCTAGGGTGGCCAAGCCTGGGCTCAGAAATACCTGGAGATTTGAGGGTGGAGCCTGGGAAAATGGAGGAACCTCAGCAGGGTATAACACCATGGGTGCGTTCAGACGGGGGATTTACAACGGTTAGGGTGCCGGTTCCAACCGGTGTACTTACGGGCATTCACACAGCGAACATCTGCCTCCCGTCCCTAACCGTTGTAAATCCCTTTACACGTTGCACTCTGCCACTAGGTCCGAAGTGGTGGTAAACAGAGTGCAACGGTTGTAATCGGTGCACCCCAGCGTCTGATCGCTCTCCTCCATTCCCCAGCTACTTCCGTCGGAAGCCTGAGGCTTCCAGCTTTCCCCGGCCATTTTTTTTTTTAAACTAAGCGATATGCGCTCAGGCGAAGCTTCGCCCTGAGCGTTTGTTTTAAAAAAAAAGCCTTACTTTAACTTCCCGGAGGAGTCCGGGACTACAGGGAGGCCAGGTTGGGCTTTAAACATTAAAGGTAAGTTTAAACGCAAGGGGGGGGGAGGTTGGGCATGCGCAAAAATCGCCATTCTCTGAATGGCTGCCTATGCGCATGCTCAAACTGTCCTTAAAAAAAAAAAACGCCGACGCCCGCAGCGTGTGAGCGGGCGTCCCCGGAGGGCTACGCAAGATGGAGGGTAAGTCTGATCGCGTTTCTGCCGGCATAAACTGCACCGGTTCCAACCCGTGCAGTTTATGCCGGCAGAAAGGCCGCGTCTGAATGCACCTCATGTGCTCCACCTTCCAATGCAGCCATTTTCTCCAGGAGATGAGGAATAAATGTTTTAAATAAATAAGTGATTTATGTAGTCCAGAGATCAGTTATAATTCCAGGAGATCTCCAGCTCCCGCTTGAAGGCTGGCAACCCACATTGGATCCAGTCTCAATTTTCTGGTAATCTCTACCAATTCCATCTTCCTGCTGCAGATCCCTGATTTGCCTCCCACACATTTCCTGAGGTCCCTGGTCACCCAGGAGTAGCCTTACAGGGAGATCAGTGGGCTGTACTGGGTGGGGCAAAAACCTACAGATGAAAGTAACTTTCGTGAACAGAAAGCTTAGTCTGGACACAACCAGTGCTCCCTCTAAGAGAGCCAGTTTGGTGTAGTGGTTAAGTGTGTGGACTCTAATCTGGGAGAACCCGGTTTGATTCCCCACTTCTCCACATGCAGCTGCTGGTGTGACCTTGGGTCAGTTACAAGTTCTTTCAGAGCTGTTCTCTCAAGGGCAATTCTCAAAAGAGCTCTCTCAGCCCCGCCTACCTTACAGGGTGTCTGTTGTGGGGAGTGGAAGGGAGAGGAGTTTGTAAGCTGCTCTGAGACTCCGAGTGAAGGGTGGGGTATAAATCCAATCTCTTCTTCTTCTACTTCTTCTTCTTCTAAACTGAGTTAGTGTGAGCTAGCTTATAGTTTTTTAGCCTCCGGCTCACACATTTTTCTCTTAGCTCAGGAAGGATGGCTTCAGAGCAAACTAATTTATGCAGTAGTCTAATGTCTCGCTCACAACTTTAATGCCAGTAGCCCACAAAGCAGAATTTTTGCTCACAAGATTCCACAGCTTAGAGGGAGCATTGGACGCAACTCAAGGATAGGAACTGTCAATGATTTGCTACAGGCCACAGACCAAACAGCTCAAAAACAACAAACTAGGTATTCAAGCTTGGGATATTGAATGCTTGCAGTCTTATCCTTGAAAGACAAAGGGATCATCACCACGCCTACATGCCACTCTTCTATTTGAAGATCAAAACCACAGTGCATTCGGAATTACAATACAGACCACTTATTTCTGGTCCTGATTAGTTTCCTTCCTTCCTTCGTCCGTGCAATGGCAATGGAGTTTTAAATACTTGCAACTCGAAACTGCATCCTTCACTTGTGACAGCTGTTGTGACAGAACAAAAGTGTGGTTCTCTTGTAAGGAAGGCAGCGGATGCCTAACAACTCTACAGTGTCTTGTTATAACTTCATCTGATACTGTGAGATTCCAGAAGTGACAGAAACGGGAGACGTTTGGCCTATGAGGACAATAAGTACTTCCTTGTGTCCCGCAAAAAAGTACACAACTTCTCATATTCTTCTGAATTGTCACTTCATTTATCAGTATCCATTACCATTGCTTTTGGCTACCACAACAACTCTACCGCTACTTCTACAACACATGGACTAGTATCACCAGTACCACCACGACAGTTTATCTACTTTAATAGTAATTGTAGTAATGCACTAGTCATTTTGATAGTGCAATCCTATATGGTATTACTTCTGAGCCTATTGTTTTGAACTAGTTTATACTAGTTCTGGATAGGATGGCACTGTTAGGAACAATCATAACATTGATTGCAGTCCTCTACAAGTCGCAACAGCAGTACTATGCAAAGACAAGCTCTCCATTCTGCTAGGCATTGAGGGGAATAACAGAAAAGGAAAGGAACCATTTTCTCCAAGGGAAATAAATAAGAAAAGAAAGCAAAAGAAACAAAAACTGCAAAACAAACTAACTTACCCAGTTTTTGCAAAACTTGCCCAGTATCTCATCATAGACCTACTCAGTATCTCCTCTGCTTTGGTATAATTGACTCTTCTCTCTAGAGGCAGTCCAAATACAAACTCTATTTCATACCCATGCGGTACTCCCATCCACTCTGGCCAAGCAAGTTTTGAAGATCTGTGCTCAAAGAAGTATAAGAAGGCAGCGTTTCCTGCCTCCACAAAATGTTTTATGAACTTGACCACAGGGCATATGAAATTGTAATCTCCAAGGACATCATCCATGGCATCACGGTAATTGAAAGGGTTTTGTTCATCTTCCCAGTCGGTATAGTGGAAGTGTATCGATTCCAAGCTGATATTGTTAGTTTCTGGAAAGCAGACCTTCAGCCCTGCCCGGAAGTATGCATTGTTAATCAGACTGTTGTTGTCTTTGCTGAAGCCGGGTGCTCCGTATGCAAGGAAAACGGCCCCTTCGTCTTTGTTCACTCCCATCAGGATCTGTGTTTGTTTAAAATCCCCCTTCTTTAGCAAGGTTTCTGGCATTTCAGTGAGAAAGTCACTGTCAACGACCGGAATAAAGTACATCTCTAGAAGAGTTCTGTATGTTAAGACAGAAACTTCGTTGTCCAGTATGTCCTGGGGATGTTTGCTTCGAAGACAATAAATGATCTCTGTTTCATTGCTACCTGTGCACTGGAGGAGGTGAGCCAGAGCTAGCGTTCTTCTCCTGGCTTCGGAGGGCAGAAGTGCACCCCAAGGAGCATTTCCGGAACCACTTTGCATGATCGCCCGAGTGAAGAGTGGATAGCTGTTAGGAGAGAGGAGATGGTAGCTGACGGATCCTGCTCCAGCACTCTCTCCGAATATTGTCACACTCTTCGGATTACCACCGAAGGCTGCTATGTTATCCTGGACCCACTGAAGTGCCAACCGTTGATCAAACAACCCAGCATTTCCCGGAGCTTCCTCATGTCCCGGCAAAGCCAAGAATCCCAGGGCCCCTAACCTATAGTTCATTGAAACAACAATGACTCTTTCAACTCGGGCCAAGAACTTGCCATCGTAGACAGGTAGTGAGGATGTCCCAGACTGGAAGGCTCCTCCATAGATCCATACCATGACAGTTGCATTTTTAGGCTTGGGTGAAGGAACCCACACATTGAGGTAGAGGCAGTCTTCACTGAGGTTTGTGTTTGGGTTCCACATCTCTGATCCTGCAAATCCAGGAAAGGTGTTGTCCCTGTTCTGATAGCAAGAGTTTGAATACTTGGTGGCATCCCAGACCCCAGTCCACTCTTGCCTAGGCTGTGGCTTTTTGAACCGAAGCATCCCGATAGGTGGCTCTCCATAAGGAATCCCAAGGAAGGCTGACACAGTCCCACCAAGCACGGGCAAATTCATCCCTTTTACTCTTCCATTCTTAGTGGCAACATCTGTGTCATCTTCTGGGACCACCTTCTTGACAAGAGTATGGAGAAGAAGTAACCTTATGAGAGTTCTTGTGTGCCTGCATGCTCCCTTAGTGCACATCATAATTCCTGAAGTAAAAACAAAAAAAAGAGGAGATTTTGATGCCGCAATACAAATAATGGCTTCGTTCTGGGAGAGGGGACCCTTGGCACATAATATGAAGGCATTGTCAGGAGGCCTGTGCAGGGGAAACCAAGGAAAAACCAATCGGAAATGGTACCCAAAGGCCCTGACCTGGATAGCCCAAGCGAGCCCAATCCCATCAGAAATCTTAAACTAAGATAAAAAAAAATCTTAAACTAAGCAGGGCCGACCATGGCAAGTACTTGGATGGGAGACCTCCAAGAGATACCAGGGCCAGGATGCAGAGGCAGGCAATAGAAAGCCACCTCTCTGAAATGTCCAAGCCCCACTAGGGGTTGCCAGAAGTCACCATGACTTCTAGGCTTTCAAGCACGCACACAACACACACACTCACACACACGCAAAAAAGAAATGGTAGTCAAAGACAAAGTGTGAAGACTAACGAAACAAGAGGTGAGAAAACAAAAAAAATAAATAACAATGATGGTGATAGGAATTTGGAATTGCCTGTTAGTGTCATTTAAAACAACCTTTTAAGCTGAATTTGAAGGTTCCTGCTTGGACAGAACATTGGACAAATGAGTTTCAAAAAGATATGGGTGCGAAATGACAGGGGTCCTTCCTTCCTTCCTTCCTTCCTTCCTTCCTAGGGGTCCTTCCTTCCTTCCTTCCTTCCTTCCTTCCTTCCTTCCTTCCTTCCTTCCTTTCTGCTTCATTAGATTGTTGGGCTCCTTTTGTACCTTGCGATCATTTTTTTATTTTTTTGCTGTCAACTCACCTCTCTGAAACATTCAAGCTCCACTAGCGTTCGCCAAAAGTCAACCATGACTTCCAAGCATACACACACACAATACCAAACAAACAAACAAAAAAACCCCACCCAATGTCATTGAGCTTTTGTGTAAGTTTCTGGGAGTCCCTTTGGGCCCCTGTTTTCAGAAGGAAATGTGGATAGAAATATTTTCAATAAATGCCATGTTAAGTTGCTACACAACACAAGCAAATCTATACATGCAACAGCAAAGAGTACAGAACTGAAACCAGTGGCAGATACGTAAATATAATAAAAGGGAAAAGTGGGACTGTTCACTCATCGCTGCTATGAACTCTTCTGGTTTCTTATGTTCTCCCCCTCTCAAAAAATGAAAAAAAAACCCCGAACAATTTACTGATACTATCTGAACTTCAGTCCAACATTATTTTAGAAGGTTTGTCTCTGTTTTGATTAAGGTTGACTCCAAGGTCTGGAGCTCAATCATTTATTAAAATATAGATTCCAAGCCAAATAATGTGAAACCCAGATAATACAGAGAACACAATCAATAGATATGAAACAGAGTTTTTTAAAAAATCAGTTGCTAAACCATTTCTAGCAAGGGATTTAGTGTAAAATGCAGCCTGGGATAAATGTAGCTATTTTTAACTCTCCTCTGCATCAGAAGCATCCTTCATGGGTTAAAACAATTTTTGTTTAGAAAATGTATATTCTGCCTCTCCAGGGACCTACCCAAGGAGACTCACAATTTAAAACATTACAACCCAAGCAGCAGCATAAGAAACAAATCAGGGGCAAAACACCCACCCACCCACACACACACACACACAAAACAGCATTTTGAGCAGCCCAAAATGATACTCATCGAAGAGTCTTCAGGTTAAAGGCAGAAAGATGTTACACCTGTCTAAAAAGATGTGCTGTGGTCAGGTGCCTAAAAGGAAAGCAAGGAAGGTGCCAGGCAAACCCCCAAGGGGAGGGCATTCTCGATGTTTGAAAAAAGCAAAGAACATTCTGCAGGATTTGTCACACCCTGAACACTCCCTGTTTGAACTGCTGCCTTTGGGTAGAAGATATAGGACAATTAAAACAAGGACAAACAGATTAAAAAAATAGTTTTTATTCGAGAGCTATTATTGCTTTAAATGCTGTATGAAATTGGAATTTGGGTGACACTGGTGGTTTAAGTTGCAATGTGAACCTTAAGGGAGTTATGGGATGGTTGTGAATGGTTGTGTGAGTGTATGAGTATGGTTGTATATTATTATTATTATTATTATTATTCCAAAGGGGAGGTGACTTCTGCAGGTAGGGGAATAGAGATCAGGGCTTGAGGAAAGATCTTAACTACCAGGCTGTATGGTACAAGAACAGATCAAGATGAGTAGCCGTGTTAGTCTGTCTGTAGCAGTGGAAAAGAGCAAGAGTCCAGTAGCACCTTAAAGACTAACAAAATCTGTGGCAGGGTATGAGCTTTTGTGAGTCACTGCTCGCTTCTTCAGATACATGAGTAGGTGGCCCATCAAGTACTCCAAAGAACCAACGCTTGAAATTGTGCCCAAAAACAAACAGGGAACTAATGCAGATCTCTCAGTATGGAGGTGACACAAAGAACAGTGGGAAGAATAATACTGGCTTCATACTCGGAGGCATAGTATCATACAGAGAGTTGTTGTTTGCTCTGGCAGCTAAGAAAATACCAGCCAAAGTGGTAGCCAAAGGGTGAAATGTTTGAATATTTTTTTTAGATTGGCTATCTGTAGTAAATGCTATTTGTACCATATACCTTGTACTGAGTTCTTCACATGAAGCAGTTTAAAGGTAGTAAGTCCTTACTTTCAAACCATATTTATTACCCTGACCTGGCTGATCTAGTCTAGCCCAATCTTGTCAGCTCTTGGAAGCTAAGCAGGGTTATATAAGAGAACATAAGAGAAGCCAATGTTGGATCAGGCCAATGGCCCATCCAGTTCAACACTCTGTCACACAGTGGCCAAAAATACCAGGTGCCATCAGGAGATCCACCAGTGGGGCCAGGACACTAGAAGACCTCTCACTGTTGTACCCCCCCCGACCACCAAGAATACAGAGCATCACTTGCCCCAGACTGAGAGTTCCTATCTATACCTTGTTGCTAATAGGCACTGATGGACTTCTGCTCCATATGTTTATCCAATTTCCTCTTGAATCCATCCATGCTTTCAGCCACCTCCTGTGACAGTGAATTCCATGTGTTAATCACTATTTGGGTGAAGAAGTACTTCCTTTTATCTTTTCTAATCTGACTCCTCAGCAATTTTGTTGAGTGCCCATGAAGGTTAGCTGTGGCTAGTACTTGGATGGGAGACCACCAGAGAAGTCCAGGGCCACTACACAGAACCGGGCAATGGCAAACCCCCTCTGATCATCTCTTGCCTTGAAAACCCTGTGGGGTTGACATAAATTGGGTGTGACTCGGTGGTACTTTCCACCACCATTTAAATCTTTGTGCCCCATTTTTATCACTGTTAGGTACAAACAGACATAATCTTTCTCGCCAAATGCAGAAGACTTAACACTCTGCCAAAGGGACTGAGAATAAAAACAGGCATTGTCTTGAGATGGATTCCCATTCTAGCTGTATCTGAAGAAGTGAGCTGTGACTCATGAAAGCTCCTACCCTGCCACAAATTGTGTTAGTCTTTAAGATGCTACTGGACTCTTGCTCTTTTCTAGGTCCCAAAGCAACTCCCAAAACAACTAGGTCCCAACTCATTCTCCAGGTTTTTTTTTCTTAATGGGGAGGGACATCACTTGTGATGTGGGGGGTGGCGCCATTTTTAAAAAATTTGCTCCATTGCACAGTAGCATCAAGTAAGCACCTTCCATTTTAACCCTCCTGGGCTGCGGTCACACGTAACAGAAGCCACACAAGTGAGACGGAAAACAAACGGAGTTTCCGGGCGCGATCTCACCAGTACATCTGGGAAGCGTAGCACTCCCGTGGCTCAACCAAGGCTTCCAGCCGAAACTGCGTGGCAAAAAACTAGTACCTTGGAGGTACTAGTTTCCGGAAACTGCGGGGCAAGGGCGGGCGTCTGATCGCGTTTCCGGTGGCATCCGGCACCCGCCCATGTCCCCTTGCAAATAAGGTGTGTGTTTTTTGTCCAAGTCTCTGTGGATGCGCATGCGCACCCAACGGAGCATGCGCATTTGTCATGTACACAAAAATAAAAAACAGTTTGCCGCGGCGCACGCTTCTTCATTGTGCGCTGGCTTGTCCTGTGATCGGCACCTCTCCCTTGCCATGGACCCTCCACGGTACCTCCACAGGACCTCCACAGGAGGTCTGATCACGTAACTGCGCAGTAGTTTGCCCCAGGGCAAACAGCCACGCTTCTCCTCTGCAGTTTCCTGCCCGCGTGACCGGGGCCCTGGTTCAGTTCCTTGAATGAAAGGGAACACAAAGGAACACAGGCAAAGTTAAACAAACATTCTGAAATTGACCAGACTATTTTTGAAACTGACTAGAACAGCTGAGAACTGAGCACTGAGGGGGGGGGGATCCATGCAGAATGAGAAAGAAAACCCAACAGAGATGCACAGCAAAAGCGAGAGAAAACACCTGTGCTATCCCAAGGTCACCCAGCAAGCTTCCATGGGAGAGCAGGTATCTGAACCTAAGTTTCCCAGCTCCTAGTCCAAAATTCTGACCACTGCATCACACTGGCAGTTGCCATATCCAGCTGATGAATGATTTTAAAATAGGTGTTATGTGATTGAATGTACATTCCAATGGAAAACCAGGCCACCACTGCATTTCGCACTAATCGAACTTCCCAGGTTGTTTTTAAGAGCAACCACTGTACTTCATGTTTAATGCTGATTTATCAGTGCACAAACACCCTTAAGAAATCTGCAAACTTGATAGGGGAAATTCAGTGCCAAGAAACAGAAAATACTATGCAAACGCTCATGGGTTCGATCCGCACAAGCAAGAGACAAGAGCAAAATGGTGATGTGGGTCACAATAGCAGAGAGGAGAAATTTGAAATCATCCCCAGTCCTCACTGCGATTGCTTTAAACAGCCCGTTCCAGGTTTCTGAGTAGTACTTCTAGCCTTAAAAGGAGCGAAGTTAATTTCTGTGGAAAATACAGCTGTGCCTCTCATTTAGGGCCGTTTTGCTTATTGCCTGCTTGGAGTTGAAAGCTGAGAGGGGAAA